TTCGACGCGGGGGAGTCCGGCGGCGGCAGTGCCCAAACGCTGCCAGTCTGGGTGGCCCAGCGAGTCCGGCGATCGTTGGACGTCTTTTTTTAATAATTTCCTTGACGGGTGCGTGGGTGGAGGGTGGTGGGTGGTTGGTGGGGCTGCTCGTGCGCGGGTTGCGCGGGGCCGGGCTGTGATCTTCCGTTGTTTTCCTTTCACCCTGCAGGCAGAAGGAAGGAGGCCGCGCCCGGGCAACGCACCCGCCGTTCTTTTTATGCAGCGGCCCTTGGCCGGGGAGCGGGGAGGCCGGCGAGGAGCATGAGCGCGGCTGCGGGCCCACGGCCGTCGGGATGAGCCGCCTTGTCGCGCTTGCGACTTTTTGCTGCCTCGCGCGGGCGGGGCGCGGGGTGGGGGCGTCGGCGGGCACTCCGCGTGGGGCCCGAGCCCCCCGCCGCACGGTGAGGGGCCGCAGGCGCCCAAAGGCCCGGCACCGATGAAAAGATTTTTGCACGACACACGCCGCTGCGTGCCGCGCGCGACCCAACGCGGCGCCGGGCCTTTGGGCGCCCTCTCTCGGGGCGGCGGGCATCCGGTCGCGCGCTCGGAAGGGCCCGAGACGGAGCCGTCCAATTCAGTGCCGCCTCCTCCGCCGGCGGTGAAGTGGGGAGGAGGGACTTCCACGGGGGGATGGCGGCGCAACGACTCGCCAGCAGTGAGGTGGAAGCTCCGTTTGCGACGCACACAACAGCGCGCGCTGGTTGAGGTGTTCTGCTCTCATTTTTGGGACCCTCGGCGGTGCTGCTGGCCGACCCGGTGCGGCGCCGGGGTCTCGCGGCGTTGGTCCGGTCGTGCCTTGCCGGGGCAAAGCGCTGCGCCAGAGGTCTGGGGGCGCGTGTTGCCGTGCGGTCGGCCGCGCCATGTGGCTGCCGAGCGGCGGCGGGGAGGAGGCCCCCGGCCCGTGCTTGCGGGGCTGCGGTGGAAAGCAGCGGGGCTTCCTCGGGCGTCAGGTGAAGCTGAGAGGCGGCGCGCGGAAGGCTTTTGAGAGGCGGCAGGGTAAGGCAGCCGTGGATGCGGTCCGCGTGGAGGTCGTCAGGGCCTATGAGGAGCCGCGTGTGCCGTACAGGAAGGGCCCCTTCGTCGCGCTCGCTCCCACGGCGCAGCGCCTGCGGTCGTCCACTAATAAAGCGGCATCGGCGTCAGCCAGCGGCTCTGGCAGCACCTCCGCCAGTGGCTCGGTGCTCTCCACCACGCTGCCAGTTGCGTCGTCCTCTGAGTTCTCCATCGCCTCGGCGGTTGCGCACGCGGACGACCTCGAGGGTGAATGGAAGCTTGACGGGGCGAGACAACAACAACAGTAGCAAACATGGAATGGACAGGGGGATAGGGAGGGCACGCGGGACTGGGGGGCAGAGTGCTTTGCTTTTGCTTCTTTGCGGAGGAGCCTCTCGCTTTGCTTGCCTCTTCTTCTCGCACCAACTTGGCACCCGACGTAGGCGGAGTCGCTGAAGTGGTGCGAGGGGACTACGCCTGGACGAAACACGCAGGGACAAACTATTACGCCAACATGTTTTTCCTTCTTCTCCGCCCCGCGTCGGGGGATTGTATTTTCCCTCTTTTTTTTGTTTTCCCGCCCGTGGTTTTTGGGTTCTGTTGCGTTGCCTTCCCGGCTCACTTTGGTGCCCCGTGAGAACGCCGCCCGCTCGGCGCTCGATGGACACGCCGGCAAGCGGCGGCTCCGCTCTGCCGGCCGCGGTGTTGCCC